CGCCTGAATGGATAATCATCTGAACTCAAAAGAATTGACAACAGCAATGTACTGAATTCATCTCAATGTGCCCCAGTCACGCAATTTCGTTTTCAGCCTACTGCACTTCCGTTTTGATTCCCCGTTCCCTTCAGAGATTGTTTCTGTTTGCCCCCTTCCCATATGCCGTTAGATTCCACCATTCATATGTTATCACATTTTGTCTTTGTTTAGTATGACCTCTCAAAGTTTGAAAGCGGAATGTACCCTACACAATGCAACTCATTGTAGCCCAACATGCCTAACACATGTATAAAAATAACCTGACACACCCTATGGGCTAAGTGAGGGGCATCAAAAAGAGCAAGAGAAAGACATTGTAAAAAAACCAGTCAACACGAACAACAAAGCAAGAGACGCAACATAGGGTGGCACAACTAGTCCAGCCTGAGACAATGGGCCATAGGGCCAGTTCAAGAGTTTATAAATCTATATATTTATATACATGTATATATATAGAAATATGTAAACAAGCAAAGCAAATAGGGGCCAATCTGAACAAGGCCAAGCTACGAACATAATATGTGGTGGTCACCAAGCGGAAGGGCCTTGGTGAAGAAGTTCGTTGAGTTGGCCGCTGAGGCCACAAAGACCAAGTGTGCCTGGTCGCGTTGCTGCAACTGTCGCAGCAGGAAGTCGCGTAGATGGATGTGCTTCACTTTGCTCTCCATTCGAGGCTCTCGCCACAGGAGGATCATGGCCTTGTTCACCTTGCTTAGTGCATGTGTGTCTTTTCTGCAGTTTGGAGTTCACTGAAGCCAGAGCAACCCTGTCTGCTGTAGCCAATACCAAGTCATGGACGTAAACAAGGACAAAGAAAGGAGTGGGGCCAGAACAAACAAAAAGTGGTGGGTCGCGGACGAAGAATTGAGCCCGAAAGAAGCAAGAGTGGAGCCGAGAGTGTTGTGTTACTCACGAGGTGACTGGCAGAGACTGTGGACTTGTTGTCTCAGGCTCCAGTAGGTCTCAAGTGGGAAGTGTCAATGAAGCCAGGAAGATGGCGCAGCCAGATCTCCTTGTGCAGGTTGCCTTGGAGGAAAGCAGTGGGAAGGTCTAGTGAGCGTAGCTCGTAATGTTGCTGTGCTGCGACGTGTAGTAGCACCCAAATAGTAACTTCTTTAGGGTGGGGGAGATGGTCTGGAAAAAGTATACTCCCTCACGATGACTGAAGCCTCTCACCACGTAGCGCGCCTTGAAGATATGCGTTGATCCTGACGACCGCTTCACCTTGAAGATCCACATGCCGTTGACTACGTTCGCCCGAGGAGGGGGAACTGCGTCGATGTACATGCTTGTGGGTCCCCAAGATGTCATCTCTGCATCCATGGCTGCTATCCGCTGAGAGGCCCACTATCCTGACACTGCCTTAGTGTAAGTACGAGGAGTCGGGATGTGGAGCATCAAGGTCTCTCTCAGGGGCTAGCACCATGGCATAGAGATGAGAAGAAGCAGCTGCAAGGAACCCCAACTCAAACTGCCTGTCCTCTAGGACGTCATAGCCAAGGGCACACTCACCCCTGGCAAACAGAAGACGCGTAGGAGGAGAAGCAATCATGCGGGTGGCATAGTCAAGGCGGCGGGTGGCAGCAAAGTCAGTGATAGTGGCAACAAGTTCCGAGACAGGCGACAGAGAGGCAGTAGGTTCCGTGACTAGAGAGAAGAGAACGCATGTGACAACGTTGCGAACAGGAAGGTATTAGTTAGTGAGAGGTAGTGAAGAAACGGTCTAAGCTGTCAATGGAGGCAATGGGAGGACAGACGGAGGTGGAGAACGAGGAGGGCTATAACGAAGTAGAAAAGAACGAAGGCCCCAAATAGGAGACGAGTGACGAGCAGCCGCGGGACAACGAAGGGGACTAGACAACAGGTGGAGACGGCCGTAACCCAGGATGAGAGAGACCCAGAGTCGAGTTCTGAGGAGGAAACGTAGGACCGTAACCAGGAGGAGATGGTGAGTGGTCAGGAGAAGAAGGAAGACCAAGGGTTTGAAGACCACTCATAGGTGGCGACTACCGCCACTGCTACTGCTGCTACTAAGGCTGTGGCTACGGTTGCGGCTGCTGCTATTGTTGCTGCTGCTGCTCCTACTGCCGCTGACAGTGAAGCCTCATCAGGTAACGAGACTAGAACGTAGCACTATGCAACGGGAAGCTAACTGGTGTGTTTTTTTTTTTTTTTTTTTTTTTTTTTTTTCATTGATGCCAACAGCTTGCGATATCGAGGTTGTCAATTGTTGATGTTACAATGACTGCACACTGATATTGTTTGACATACGTGGCAGGTTCCAACCCGAGGGCAGCAAAGTTGGAGCTCAAAACCTTCATCCACTTCATGTCGTGTCTCCACGAGGATGAGGATTTTGACCTAGGGTTGGCAAACATGCTGAAAACGGAAGATTGGCCCCGCGGTTACCTCAACCTGATGACCCTGTGGCAGGCTTTGGCGGTTTTGCCACCAAGTACCATCGAAGGCTGATGCTGCACCTGATTTTGGACCCACATGAATCAAGGATGTTTCGTCCATCCCCATGTACTCTCACCACTATAACCTCGCCAAGAAATTTTTGTGCAGAAGTGAAGAAGAATTACAACTCGGACTTGTCACCCCAATAATCACCATTTCTTACCTATCCCCCCCCCCCTCCCCCTCTTCCTTCCCCTTTTTGGAGGGCCTCGAAGGGGATTTTTTTTTGGGGGGGGAGAGGGGGAACAGAAAAAACGAGTGTGACTTACTGATGGGCCAGGGTTCACAGTGCACCACTATATTGATTTTCCAGTGTGGTTATATCATTTTATTCTAATTGTACAGGGCCAGAAATAACCATATAATGTTTATCAGTGTCATAGGGAAAATGAGTTTCCTTTTCTGGAATATCACTATCTTTTACATTTATAAAATAGGTCTTGCCCTCAACATGCTGGACTACACGTACAACCAGCCCAATGTTGTGGAGATCTAGCGCAAGCAAAAGAATAGAAGGCCTGCGGGAACACCTGTAAAAGTCAGACCATGCGGGGGAAAACGAAATGAGAAAATGCAGGATAGCGCAGATGATGATTGTGATGCCTACCTCGCTTGTAACTTGTCAGATGATGAACAAAGAATCTGCATTGTGTCGATGTAATGTAATCAGAAATTACGACCATTGCAAAACTGCTATCGTAATCACTGGACGTACCACCCTACAGTCTTATCTTCTCAAAGGATTCATCATCAACCCAAAAGGGGGGTATAATAAAAACGAGGTGAATTATAACACCCACCCCGCACAAGCCACCCTGGGGGTCTTTAATTTCGGCGGCTGGTATGTCCGGGTGATTACGGTATTTTAATATCGTATGGCCCTGAATTGAAGCGCAGGTGCGTTAATAATAAAATGTGTTTTCTAATTTAGTAGAAAGTATTAGTAGAAAGTATTAGCGCATGCGCGTGTAAATCAAGCCGAACCCTCAAGAAGAGGGTCGAATATTCCCTGCTAGTGCAGCGGATATCGTGCCACGCAGGGCCTTCTGCGGGTTCAAGTGGGGGTTTCCCATCATCCATCGGCGTTGTCCGTCGTCGCCCGCGCGGTTTTAAAAGCTAGGTTTTAGCGGTCGAAAAACTTCGCGTGCAAACAGGCTCTGATTACCAAGTGTGAGGATCTAGGATCGAGCTCAGAAAAGAGAATGTGAATTGAATGATCACCTTGGTACAGCACGAGGCTATATATAGGCTCGACACAAGGCCTAGTAACCAGGTGTTACGTGAATGTTCTGAGGGTCGCGAAGCGTCCCGAACAGAACCTTCCCGAACTCAGTAGAAAGCAATTCGGTGGAAACCGAATAGGCTTGAGTTCGGTACACGTAACCTGGTTCGGTGCTATAACTATAATAAAATATAGGAATGCACCTAACCTAGGAAATCAAGCATATCTATGCATGATAAATAAAACCCAAGCTAGATATAGCATAATAATTTCTAGGCAAGCTAGCAAAGCCAGCATAAGCCGTCGTACTCTCACACCACTGCCGCCAGTTTCGTAGGTTAGCGATTGTTTCGTCAACTCGTGTTGGACTATTTTGTAGTAGACTTCGGGGGATGGAGGGAACCGTATTTCGAGAACCTTCAAGCTTACATCCCGCCAAGGATTAACTCCAGGTGTCCGGCAGTGGGGGTGAGTTGGTCCCCTCATTTTTAAGGATGGTGAGAACCCCTTTGACTTCGTGCCTGTAGCACGCTACCGTCTTTTAGGCGATGAAATTGGGCAGCGCAGCCAAACGTTGCGATGAAACTTAGTTCCCGCGGTCGGGTTTCACATTTTCGCGATGGCGGCGCACGTGGCTTATCGGTTGGTCAGTATGGGACCAGCAGATCCGGTCTATCCCGTCTGTAACGCCTGTGGGTTGTGTTAAGGGCACTCCGCTACGCCAACTAACACCCTCGTTTTGACCCAGTGGGTAGCGAGGTGTTACATTTGGTATCAGAGCCTAGGGTTCGAGTCCCGGCTGGTCCACATTTTCCGCCAGTGGCGAGAACTGAAATGTGGTTACCAGCTCGAACCCAGTGAACGATCCTGAAATCTAGGTCCTAGCTACAGAGGGCCGACTCCCTGAAGTCCGAGGCCAACGGGGACGTTGGCGCCAGGGGGGAACGAGTGTAACACCTGTGGGCTGTGTTAAGGGCACTCCGCTGCGCCAACTAACACCCTCGTTTTGACCCAGTGGGTAGCGAGGTGTTACACCGTCCGTCGCTCGGAGAGCCGTCTCATTCTTTCCGCCGCCTCGCCTTCGGAGCAGTCACTTATCCCGCGATGCCGCTACACCGCCCTTCTGTCGGTGCCTCGCACACCCTGCAAGCCTCTACAAAGACCAGAGGACCTTCCGAGTTAATATTCCATCGAGCGAGCGAGCCGTCGAGTCAGCGACCCTTTTTTACCCATTTCCCGCCGCTCCCAGCCGTCCAACTCGAACCTCCCGCCAGCCATGGTGCGCCAGGCTCATCCTCAGCGCGGGACGCCTCTGCTGCTGCTGCTGCTGCTGCTCGCTCTGATCGTCTTGGCGACTGTCGCCGTCGCGCAAGATGCGATCGACCCCGTCACCTACGTGCCGGCCACTCACAGCCTAACGTTCGGTCCGGGGTACATCGCGTCTGTGAACACCGCAACCAACCCGCCGTCACTGGCCGTTGTCGACTCCACTGGCGCGCCTGTCGCGCCCACTTCTAACGCGGACGGATCCTCCACGGTGGCCGGGTACACCGCGTACCCGAACGGCACCATCACTGGTCCGGGCGGCCTTTCCATCTACATTGGTGCCGGCGACGCGCTGGTTGCTATGGGAACAACAACAGTCCTGAAGAACGGAACCATTGTGGACGGTTCGGGAATGAAGCTCGTGCCGGTAACGAACCCTGACGGGTCGTACACTGCAGGGGACATGACCGGGTGGGCTAACGGCACCATCGTTGGCAGCGGCGGCGCCGTGATCAACGCCGGCGCGCCGCTCACCCTCACAGCGGACGGCAGCATTGCTTTCGCTCCGCAGGCAGCCCCTCCCGTGCCTGGCGCCGCCATCTCCGTGAATCCCGGCGCCCGCAGCCTGTCGGTGGGCGGCTACACGGTGTCGCTGAGTGGCAATAAGCTCTCCTTGCTAGACTCCACCGGCAAGCCTGACACCACCACCACCAACCCCGACGGGTCCCGCTGTCTTGGCGACTACACGCTTTACAAGAACGGCACGATCGCTGCTCCGGGCGGCATTGCCATTGACACTTCCGGTCCCAACGCGGGGCTGCGTGTGGGAACAACGACGGTTCTGATAGTAAACGGAACGGTTCTGGACGGTACGGGAGCGAAGATTGTGCCGACGGGTCCGAATGAGGACGGGTCGTAGAGTGCAGGGGACGTGAAAGGGTGGGCCAACAGGACTGTTATTGACACCAACTCTGGTGTGGTGTTCTATGCTGGGGCGCCGCTGGCCGTCACAGCTGATGGCAGGGTCACTTTGGCTTCTCCTTCCCTTCCCACTGCTACCATTGCTGCTCCCTCTGCTGGTGTCGCTTCTCCTCCCACTGGTGCCGCTTCTCCTCCTACTGATGCCGGTGCTCCTCCTAGTGATGCCGGTGCTCCTACTGCTGATGTCGGTGCTCCCCCTGCCGGTTCCACTTCTCCCCCTGCTGGTGCCTCTACTCCTGCCACTCCTCCTCCCCCACCCAGGACTGCTGGTGAGTTGCTTCTCCCTTTCTGAAGTGCTACTCAACCTTTTCCATTTTTCAAATAGTTCTGTTGCCTCAATCTTGCCTTCCTGTTTGCTACCTCACCCTCTTATTCCGCTGCCCTTTTCCACACATCTCACTACTCCGATGCTTCCTTTTCTCCTCTCTATCGTAGGATGTTTTGACCTGAGTCTGTTTTCCCTGTTATTCCCCTTCGCAATGGCAAGTTTGCTTGCTTCACCGGCCACTGCTCTCGCTGCTGCTCTCATCACTCTCGCCCTTGCCCCGCTCATGTTCATGTAGAGCAGCGCAGCTCCATGTAAGACCAGTCGTGGGCGCAGGTGACCTTGAGTCGCTTCACCGGCCGCTGATCTCACTGCTCTCATCACTCTCGCCTTTGCGCCGATCATGTTCATGCAGAGCAACGCAGCTCCATGTAAGACCAGGCGAGGACACAAGTGGGCACGAGTGGTTTGCACTGTGCAGTAACATGTTATCATAATTCAATTGCTTATTTCCATCCCAGGCCATTTCTTGCATGGATTGGGTAACTCCCATACTTGTTCCTACTTGTTAACAGTTAGGGTACATTCCTGTGTGGACACAAATGTCTCAATCGCTTTGTGACACCCAAAAACAGCATATAGCGTACAATGTCGCAAACGCGTGGCGCACTAGTGCGACCTTTACTGTATTTATCAATGGTCAGCGTGACATGCGGTAATATCGCGGACGAGTTGGACGAGGCCCCGTCACACATGTAAAGTCGCACGCGTGTCGAAATGTCGAGCTCCCCCCCGGCTCGACCGCATGCATCTGGACGCCCGAAATGGTGACAATTTTGAGCGGGAAAAGCAACCGCCCTGCCCGTGTATCCAATCGAGTGGTACCCAGGCCCGTGAAGTTATGCATCCCTGCCCGCCAGCCGAAACCCAACTTCCCGTCCCTGCCATCTTGTCACCCACTTCAAACCCTCTCTCAACTCTAGTCCATATCTATTCTCACCCTTGTTCTCTCTCGTTTATCCAGAACTTTTCTCTTTGGCAGCCATGGCTAGGAAGCGCAAGACAGCAGCAGACGCTGCTACCGACGTCCTGCGGGATCTCAATGAGATCACGTACATAGCTTGGATTAACAAGCAGATTGCTTCGGGGCGCAAGCCCGCGGGCCCGATGCCTGAAGGAATACCGTCACCTGGAGCCACCTCCTACAAAGCTCCGTGTGACGTTCCAACGCGCGGTCGCCGTGACGCCGACCGGGTTGCATCTTCGCGGGTCATCGACGACAATCCGCTTGACGACGACGACAACGATAGCGATTACAACGAGTACGCCGTCGGGACCGACGACGAGGCGGACTCTGGCGAGGAGCCGGACAAGGGCATGTCCAACTCAGAGGATGACGGCGAGGGCGAAGAGTCCGAGGACGAGGCCGACGCACCAGAGGAAACTCAGCCCTCGGCCCCGACCACGCGTGCCGGCCGTGCGACGCCTGCAGGCACCGCGAAAACCGCCTCAAAGGGAGGCGAGCCTCCACGCCGCGCGCCGAAGACCCGCAACCAGATGCCTGTGAAGCGCAGTGTCTGGTCTCCACTGGAGAGCACGATCTTTGTGGCCGCCCGCTGGTTCATGAAAGACGAACTGGAGCCGCTGCTGGGGAAGCAGGGCTCGCAGTATTGGGCGCGCCTTGTCAAGCACCTCGAAAAGGAGAACCCGGGGTGGGTTCGCGGCGTCAATGCAGTTCAGAAACAGTGGCGGAACCTCGTCAAGTTCTACAAGCAGCTCAAGAAGGGAGAAAAGGCGTCGTGAAAGGGTGCCGTGTGCAAGCCCTCGTGGTACCCGTACATGGAACTGTATTGCAACAATCGGGCCGTCGCCAACCCACATGCTGTGGCTGGCGGCGGCGCGTCGAGCGTCAACGTGCCGTGCGAGTTCAAGGTGCCTTCCACGTCGGCTCCAACCACGACTACTCCAACCTTTACGGGTGAGTTTTGCATATTCCGTTATTTGGCACTGTGTTTTAGTGTTATTCTTTGAGGGGTATAGAATAGTACATCTCTCACAACCTTGCACGCCATACACACACGCAGGCTAACCACCAATGCATGTCTCTGCTTGCGTGTCCAGCCCCTCCTCCGCAGTGCACCCCACCCTCTAAACGCCCGCGGGTTGCGGAGACCGCAATCATGGCCGCCGCGAAGCTAGTTTGTGAGACGATCAAAGGATGCCACGAGGATGCGATGTGCAAGCTCGAAGGACTCGTGCGCGCCTGAATGCAGCAGGACGAGCGAATTGCGCGCGAACGCCTCCAGCCGACTGCGCCACCTATGCCTGCACGCAACGACGCTCCCGCTGGCGCTGTCCCCCAGCCTGCCACGAACGCCGCCGAAGGCAGCGACGACGGATGGCTCCACCGCGGGCAGACTGGAAACGACTCGGCTAACCCAGATGCGGACGAGGAAGTGTGGGTTCGCGGCGACGCCGAGTAAGGTACGACGACTCCAATGCCTCGCCAAGCCACTTGCGCCTCTCCTTGAGTGTTGCTTGTGTGAGAGGGACACATGGCTCCCACTTGAAATCGGCCACCGTGCCTCTTGTCGGGTGCTGGCGGGTCTCTGTTCCGGGGCAGGGTTGCCCACACCTCATTGATGCGCCTAACCTGCCCCATTGTCTCGCACATGTTGTGCAGGATTACGTAGCAAGACGCACCCGCCAGCACCCGCCACAGCTGGCAGTCGTTGCGGCCCGCGAATAGTCGCTATCTGCCCTTGAAGGCGCCAATGCAGCGTTCTACCGCCATGCGCGTTGCGCTCTGGCAATAGTTGAAGCACTGCGCCCAGTCTTCCATTAGGCCCTCATGGGGTGCATGTAGTGGGGTCAGGTAGAAATCTCTGAGTGGGTAGGCTGCATCTCCCACAATTTGATACGGCGCTATGTCGCCGTTGTGCAACCTTTCTTGTAACGCACTGTTCATGTACACCCTTTGGTCGTGTGCACTTCCCGGGCACCCGATCAGGTAATCCCAGATGATGCCACGCACATCACATCTGAGCTGCAGTTGAACGGCGTACACCGACTTCCTTGTGTAGTACTCCTGTCTGTGCCCTTCCATCCCTTTTATGCGTATGTGCGTCCCATCTATAGCCCCAACCACTATAAGTACTCCTTTGACGGCGCGGAACTCCTCGGCCATCTCGGCGAGGTCTTCTGGAGTCGGGAAGTGCACCCACTGCTGCTTGAAGACGCTCGGGAAGTGCATGAGCCACACGTCGACAAGTGCATGACAAAGGGTCTTCAACAGCCCGAAATACGTTGCGAGGTCCACATACGCCATACCACTGGCCAGGTACTTTATAGCCACCAAGCTCGCGACGTCGTGCGAGATGAAGTATCGCTCAACGTAGGGCAGCATGTAGTACGCCATTCCATGGACAATGTACGCTAGAATGGTGCGATTTATCCTGAAGAGATCCCTGAACTCCCTGTCGCCCATGCCCTGCAGGTCTTCGCCTAACAGCTCGTACCGTCGGCGACGCAGACGTGCCCTCCTTGTGCGCTCGGCCATCCTGTTGGATCTGTGAGAGCTCTCTGCCGTGGAGTGGTCGCTGTCGAATACCTCGGCTTCCAGGATGCCGCAGACAGCCCGTCCTACTACGTCCAAAAAAATGGTGTAGTAGAATGTAATCCATGTGACTAGAAGGCGCATGAGAAATGGGACAGCACGAGGTTCCGCCATGACTGCAACCACAGCCACGGCTGCAGTGTGTGTGCGATGTGGTAGTTTGGGAGATGGAGCAGATGATGCTCGTTGTGCATTTGTAGGTGATGATGCGATGCACTAGGCTGCGTTGTACGAGGTGTTTGGTGTGTTGCAGCAGGCACAAATTGTTTACAGCCGTGCCCGGTGTTGGTGCAACCCTACGGTTTGCACTCGGCTTGTTGTCCGTGTGCGTGAATGTGTGTGTGTATGGAATGGTATGAGGGCATGGGATAATATATATTTCATGCTTATAATTGTGTGTGAATGTTGAGTCATGATGTCGAGTGTGTGTGTCGAGTCAATAGCGAGTTATCGCTAGACGCGTGTTACGCGGTCGTTTGTGTCTCGCGCGCGGTTTCTATTTTGTCGTGCGCGGTTTCTATTTTGTCCTGTGTCGAACGTTCGGCGTGTCGCAGGTGTGTGCAGCAGACCCATCAAGAACTCAAGGATGAGTTTGTGATGAAGAGCCCGAGCCTTGGTGTCAAGCCTCAAGTGATTTCGAAGCTCGCCAAAAGGGTACACCTCAAGATATTGAAGATAGTTACATTACTTTGTGTAGTGTAACATTTCACTTGGTGTAGGCCCTAGTGAAGGGTAGTTTCGAGAACCTTCGTGGTTGGGGACAGTGTGGCACTGTTCCACATCACTGTACCTCGGCTCTTGGGGTTTGTAGGAGCTGGGAGTCATTCCCAACTCGTAACTCTTCCTATCTTGTGTTCTAAGACTATAGTGGCTGCCATAGTACCGTTCGTTCAAACCGACGCTGTGTCGTCAATTCTTCATCAAATCGTGCAATAAATTGCTAATTGTAGACGACGTGAAGACGCTCCAGATCCAATTTGAATCAAGTCATTTGCAGCTGTGAGCAGAACGCTATCAACGTTTGAAGCCGCTGTGCAGAAATCCGTCTGTGCTCTCTATCTTTCGTTTTAGGCACATTCAAGCCTATTGTGACTATAACAAGTGGTATCAGAGCCCCTTGGAGCAGTTTCGACAATGTCTGGACCTGAGGAAAGGGGTGGCAGAGGTGCTGGTGGCAGTGGAGAAGCTCAAGCTCAAGGCCAACCCCGTGATTCAGCCATGGCGCCCATGCAACCAAGTCTTGGCCCACCTAGGGATGAGCCTAGGGTGTTTGGGCTTGACAAGTTCAACGGTGACAACTTTGCTGAATGGTCCTTCAAGATGGAGAACATCTTTGACCACTATGACCTGCTGGAGGTGATGGAAGGAACGGAGAAGCGCCCCGAGAACGACCCGGAGAAGAGCCCGTGGGTGCGGAAGAGCGCACAAGGCTATCTCTTACTTGGGCAAGCGTTGGGGAGCAGTCAGATCCGTCACATCAAGCCATTCCAGCGTGAACCAGAGAAAGGACCAAAGGTATGGGCTGCTCTCAAGGGTGTACATGCTCCTGCAACAGCGGCGGTAGCGGTGGTGTTGGAACGGCAAATGGCGGCACTACGAATTGAAGAAAACGAAGCGGTTGAAGAAGGGGTGCAGAAATTCTTCGACTTGTTGACGCGGCTTGAGGGAGCTGATTTGAACTACAGTGAGCTCCAAAAGAAGACCAAGTTGCTGGCCTTACTCCCAGAGTCATGGTCCTCGCTCATCATCAACCTTAATCGCGACTTGCCCCGCCTCTCGCTTGAAGACGTGAAGCGAGCTATCCTTCAAGAGGATTTCCGCCGCCGTGAGTTGGCGAGTGCGGATGGCGCTGGGGCAGCGAGCATCGGCCGTGGATATGGTCGAGGAAGAGGCAGAGGACGAGGGGGAGGAAGGTTTGGTGGCAGCAACTTCGGCGGAGGCCGCAGGAGTGGCGGTTACGGCAGCGACGACAAGAGCTACGGACGCGGTCGCGGCCGATTCGACGGCGAGTGTCACTATTGCCACAAGAGCGGACACATGTGGCGCGACTGCTACAAACTCCCTGATGGTTGGACCCCTGCTCAAGGCCAAGAGGGTAGAGGAGCAGGAGGAGGGAGAGGACGAGGCCGTGGAGGCCGTGGCGGTCGCGGTGGCGGAGCTGCAAACATGAAGAGCGGAGACAACGACAAGGACCCGAGCGACGATCGATACCCGGGTCTATTCTACTTCGTGTCGACGCAAGTACCGGCTGGTCCAGAGAAGGATGAAGGCTTTGAGGAGCCAGCAGCTGTGGGGAAGGTGACCCTACACCCCCTGGACTATTGGGTGATTGATAGTGGCGCTACCTATAGCATGACACCTCGCCCGGACTTGCTCACCGAACTCGAGCCGTCACCGGTGAAGCATGTCACATCGGCTTTGGGGCAGCGAGCAGAGGTGAAAGGCATGGGCAAGGCCATGTTCAAGGGTGCTGATGGGAAGATGGTGGGCCTCAAGAACGTGCTTTGGGTGCCCAGCCTTGCTGCAAACCTGATTTCCGTGCGGCGGTTGGCAAAGGCCGGCATGGACACGAACTCGAAGGGAGCCAAGACCTACACCGCAAGGCTTGGCGATCGAATTCTTTGGGACCTTCATGAGGACAGGGATGTCTACAACGAGATGTGGCAGATCCCAGTGGTCCCTATGCCTAAGGAGAGGCAAGTGGCAGCAAGCATCAGCACCAAGGATGGAGCGGTCGGTAGCGACGATGGCGCGAACGGTCGCGCTAAGGAGAATGAGCTCAAGAAGAGCAAACCTGGAGGGACCAGCAAGTTCAGTGAACCTAAGGAGAGTGGTGCAGCAACCAAGGAGCAGCAAAAGGGTGAGGAGAACCCAGAGGCAGCAGCGGAGGAGGACTACGGAGAGAGTATGTGGGGCGCTATTCCGAGCGCGGCATTCTCCAATCCAACTTCGGCTACGGGGGAGTGTGATTGGCTCACCTTGCATCGGCGCATGGGGCATGTGGCCCTGCCCATCTTGCAGCAGCTAGTGAAGAATGAGATGGTTGCTGGCATACGTGTGAAGGGGGAGCCCGATGAGGTGCTTGGCTGCCCGACGTGCATTCAAGCCAAGTTCACCCGGTTTCCGTTCCCTAGTTCGGAGGCAACGGCAAAGGCACCACTTCATGAGGTGGTGATGGACGTGGTGG